GACAGAGGAGAATGCAGAGGACATTGGGGGACATTTGGGATACTTTGGGAGGGCAGTTTCTGGACGATTTCAAAGAGAGCCTGAGAGAGAGCCTTTATGGGAACAATTCCAGGGAGTGGCTCAGGGCTGCTGGGGAGGGTATTTCTGGGGGACAATCCTTGGGTCAGACAATGGGCTCATTTGGGCGATGGCTTCGGCGAGCACTTCTGGATTTGGGGGAAGAGGGGCTGGGATGCATTTCAGACTTAAGTTTTGGGGAGCGAGGTCTTGGGACTTTGGGGATAGGGTGGCGTTTTCGGCGGCAGGAGAGATAATGGACGGGGACCCTTTGTTGGGGTTCCGATGGGGAGATTTTGGAGGGTCTCTCCGAAGGAGCGTTTCATTTCACGGGGGGAGGGGGAGCGGCTTAAGTGTTGGAGAGACCCCAGGCTACTCAGGGGGTGGGGGCGTTGGAAGGGGCGGACCTGTGGGGCAAATGCCTGGGGGGGCCCAGACGTAGGGACGCTGTCTCAGGCCCCTGCCCAGTACCTCCTTCCCCACAGCTGCGCCTCAGCCCCACCGAGCTGGGCTCCTGCCCGCCCTGCGGGCCCTGCCCCATCCCGAAGCCGGCGGCGGCCAGAGGCAGGCGCCAGGCAAGTGCCCAGGGGCGGGCGCGCAGAGCCCGGAGCCGCTGTCCAGGGAGGGGGGACAGGCAGCGGCCAACCCTGGCCCACGTGCCTCCATCCCGTGCGCCCGCAGAGCCAGGACTGGGGCAGAGGTGACGAACGCCTCCTGCAGGCCGTCGAGAGCAATGACTCTGCACGAGTGGCCTCCCTCATTGTCCGCAAGGGGCTGGTGCCCACCAAGCTGGACCCGGAGGGCAAGTCCGCGTGAGTGCCCATCCCCCCACCCTCACCCCCCACCCCCCTCCAGGGCACAGAGGGGCGGTGGTGACCCTCAGGCTGACCTCTGACCTCTGCTGACCCCCAGGTTCCACTTGGCAGCCATGAGGGGCGCAGTCAGCTGTCTGGAGGTGATGCTGGCCCAGGGTGCCAATGTCATGAGCACAGATGGGGCAGGTACTGGGGTCCAGCCCTGGGGTCCAGCCAGGCCCTGCTGGCACAAAGGGGTTCCCTTCCCTGTCCATTCACTGGCCCTGGGAGATTTGGGGTGCATGTCAGACCGCTGTGCCCATGGCAGAGCCCTTGACAACCAGCAGGCTAGATGAAGCAGGGATTTGTGGGTGGGGTAACAGGGGTTCAGGTAGTGTTCTACTCAGAGGAAGTGCAGGCGGGTGTACCCCGTGTGACTGCACCCTGAAGATACTGAGTTTTTAAAACCAAAGGCGGGTTTGTGGCCACCATGCCATGTTCCCAACGGCAGGCGTCCACTTCCAGTCTCTGGGTCCCATTTGGACACTCTCGCCACATTCCCACCCTTGTCATCATACCGTTCCGCCACCGGACTGTCAGTGTGTCACACTGTGGTGGCGCGTGTGCCGCTGTGATCCCGGAAGCGATGTCACCTGCATTTCAAATGCCAGCAGGGTCACCCAAAGTGAACAGGTATCAGCGGAGCTCTCAGACTGAGAGCTGGGTACGGAGGAGGACGAGGCTGCCCACTTCTGAGGGAGAGCCACTGACTTGAAGCCGTTACTGATGAAGCCTTCAGTACATGACCTCTTTCAAGGGCTGACGGGCCGTGATGTCACTTTGAGGACCAAGGTGGGCCTGACCCAAGCCAGGGTCTTTCCAATCGCCTGGCATGCCTGTGACAGTTGGCCACTGAATACGGGAGACGGAAGAAGAACCGAGGCACTTGAATCAGGCGCTGGCGAAGACTACTGAAAGCATCATGGACAGTCAAAAGGACAGACAGACCTGTCTTGGGAGAAGGAAGTACGGCCAGAGCGCTCCTTAGAGACAAGGCTGGTGAGACTGTGTCACTTACGAGCAAGGTCTCAGGAGAAACCCGTCCCTGAAGAAGGGCATCATGCTTGGTAAGGTACAGGGGCAGCACAAGACCAGATGACAGACACCGGACACCGTGCTCCCCTGGCTCCAACAGAAGGACAATTGTGAGGATGGCGCTGGACCGGGCAGGGTTTCATTCCACTCGCTGTACATCGGGGCACTCTGGGTCAGAACTGACTGCATGGCAGCCAGCAGCAACAGCCAGTAGCAAACTGTTTGGGAAACACCTGAGAGGCATGAATCCGCGTGTTGGAGGCAGCCGGAAGGAGCCCCAGTGGCGCAGTAGGTTACGAGTGGAGCTGCTAACCACAAGGTCAACGGTTCAAACCCATTAGCCGCTTGGTCTGCTCCCACAAAAATTACTGTCTTGGGAACCTTTGGGTTCAGTTGTTCTCAGCCCTACAGGGCGGTTGTGTCAGGAGCTACATAAGGGCCGTGGATTTGAGAGGCAGATGGAGAAGGCACAGTGGTTAAGCATTCACCTGCTAACCAAACGATCCACGGTTGCCCCGTGGGACAAAAATGTGGCAGTCCACTTTTTGCTCAAGGTAGCAGCCTGGGAAACCCCTGGGGGGCAGTTCTCCTCCGTCCGGCATCCAGCAGGGTGACTGTGGGTCGGAATGGGTTCAGTGCAGTGAGAGTGTGACTGGGGTGGGAGCTAGGGTTGCAGTTGAGATCAAAGGGGAGAACTGGGTGTCTGATTCTATTAGGGACTGCAAGGAATCCTTGAGATAGAATGGAGGGCCAAGGGGAATAGTGAGGGTCCCCCAGTGGGAGTGGGGTGGGGTTGGGGGAAGATAGGTGTGACAACGGCCAGCTCCTTGTTAAGTGCCATCGAGTCAGTTCCGACCCATAGCCACCCTGTGCACAACAGAACAAAGCACTGCACTGTCCTGCGCCGTCCTCACCACCGTTCCTGTCCCCAAGCCCACCATGGTTGCAGCCACGGTGTCAACCCATCTCACTGAGGGCCTTCCTCTGTTTGCTGCCTCTCCACTTTACCCAGCATGCTGTGCTCTCCAGGGACCGGTCTCAGCCACACAGGCTGGAGGCTTCTCACCCACTGCCATGGAGCTGATGCTGATCACAGCGACTCTATCGGACAGGGTAGAACTGCCCCTGGGGGCTTCTGAGACCGTCATTCTTGGTGGGAATGGAAAACCTAATTTCTCTCCAGAGGGGTGACTGGTGGTTTTGAACTGATTACCTTTACATCACCAGGGCCTCTTAGCTGGAAGTTTGGAGAACAGCAAACTGGGGCACCTAACTGCCCCTGAAGTGCCAAGGACATGGGAGATGAGTGGGGGCTTACAGAGCAATGGTGGGCTGCAGTGGGCGGAGCTGGAGCTGGGACGTGGTGGGCAGAGGAACCTGCCCGTCGGGAACCTGCGGAGTATGGAGACCAGCCGGCCAGTGTGGGCTGACACTGCCGTGGCATTGTGTGGGACACACAGACTGGCTGTGGCTGGGAGAGTCTCCAGCTGCAGGAAGTAGGGAGGTTTTGGGAAGTACTTGGGGTTTGGGGGGATTGCCAGACATCATCAACAACAGGCAGACCTCAGAGAGACCGTGGGCTCCATGCCAGATGACACACCTCCCACCACCACCCGCGACAAAGTACCCAGGGCTATAAAACTACTTCCACACTCGTTGGGGCTTTTTTGTTTGTTTCCCAGGACCTAGAAAAGTGATGCTGACACTAGATTGTCATCTGTGAAACAGGCAGGAAGATGTGTGAGCTGCCGGCCAGTCTGTTCTGACTCTGCACTCCCATGCACACCCGAGCCATCCTCACGCTTGAGCCCATTGCTACAGCCACTGGGTCCACCCCCCTCCTGGACGACCTTCCTTTTTTCCGCTGCCCCTCCACTTTACCCAGCATGGTGTCCCTCTCCAGGGACTGGTCTCTCCGGGCAACACGTCCGAAGGGTGTGAGACAAAGTCTCGCCATCCTTGCCTCTCAGGAGCGCTCCGGCTGTACTTCTTCCACGACACAGCTGATGGTGCGTGTGGGCGTGCCCAGGACGTTCACTGTTCTTTGCCAGCACCGTAACTCCAAGGGATCAATTCCTTCTTATACCTTCTTTATTCCGGGCCCCCCTTTCACCTGCACACGTGGCTGCTGCTATTAAGGGCTAGTGAGTCCGTTGCAACCCGCAGTGACTGCGCACAACAGAAGGAAACACCGCCTCGCCGCGCGCCATCTTCAAAGCTGTTCCTATACCTGCGCCCAGCCGATGAGGGGATGGGAAGGACCGTGGCTTGGATCAGGCACACCTTAGTCCTCCAAGTGACATCCTTGCTTTTCAACCCTTTAAAGAGGTCTGGTGCAGCAATGCGTCATTTTGATCTCTTGACCGCTGCTTCCATGAGCATTGACTGTAGATCCACGCAAGACGAAATCCTTGACTTTTTTCCCCCCATTGATCATGGTGCTGCCTATTGGTCCAGCTGAGCTGGAGAATAAGCATGGTGGAAACAGGGCGAGAATGACCGAAGGGGGACCCAGAGGCTGTGGAAACGGCGGTCCAGGCAGACTTGCTGAAAACAGACTGGCCACAACATTTCCATTTGTAAACAAACAGTTGTGTCCGCGTGGCTTGGGCTCCAGTGCCCCAGCAAAGCTTCTCCTCCTGTAGGTTACAACGCCCTCCACCTGGCCGCCAAGTATGGGCACCGGCAGTGCCTGAAGCAGCTGCTGCAGGTGAAGGCCTGCTCTCTCGGCTCTGATCCCCACCCCCAAGCCCCGGGGGCTCCCTTGGACCCCACTTTTCCTTTTGGGAGTTCCAGAAGCTTCCAGAGCTTCCAGACACCCCTCAAATCCTAGCTGTTCCTTAATCTCCTTTCATGCCCGAGCCCCAGCTGCTCACTGGACAATCAGATGGTCCTCCAACACCCAGGCGCTTCCCATGCCCAAGACCTCACGTGCCCCAGCATCTCCACAAGCCTCGCCTCTCTGAGAGCTCCTGGCTGCTTCTCAGACCCCATATCAACCCTCTTTGTCACCCACTGCCATGCAAACAAAGAGGGCAGAGGGGTGGGGGTGGAGGCATAGGTGCCACAGAGCAGGTAAGTGAGAAGAGAGACAATAGAGCAGAGCTCGAAAGGGGGTCCCCAAGAGGTCAGGCAGGCCATATGGTCCTGCCCCCACTGATTCTCCTCTCCCCAGGCCTCCTGTGTGGTGGACACAGTGGACAGCAGTGGGTGGACCGCCCTACATCATGCAGGTGAGTGCTGACCAGCCTGGCACAGAGGGGAACAGGCTGGGGTGTGATCCTGCCTAGTATGCTGGGGCCCTGCTGTCAACCTTCCTGCCTCCCATCCCCTGTCCCCCAAGCCCCGGTGGCCCCCAGCCCTTGATTCACAGACTGTTACCCCACGGTGGGAGGGGCATAGGCGGCGCCCTGGTGGTGCAGTGGTTACATGTCGGGCTGTGATCCGCAAGGTCAGCAGTTTGAGACCACCAGTCGCTCTATGGGAGAAAGATGAGGCTTTCTACTCCCCTAAAGAGTTACAGCCTCGGAAAATCACAGGGGCAGTTCTATCCTGTCCTGTAGGGTCTCTGTGGGTCAGAACTAACTTGGTGGCAGTGAGTTTGGTTTCTGGTGTGAGTGACGGGGAACCCAGGCCAACGGACCCCAAAGCACAGCCTACTGTGCGCCAGCCCTGGGGCCAGACCATGGCGCTGCCCCTGAATCAGAGTTCCTTTGAGGGTCCTCCAAGGAATGTCAGGGGGCCAAAGGTCGTCACCAAATCTCTCTAGCCAGAACCCAGCCCCACGTCAGCCCACTGCACCGGAGACTCTCATGGCTTTCACCAGCGACTGGACTCCAGAAACATCTGAGTTGAACTTCCTCACCTGTGTAAAAGTGCTCTACACCTGGAATATGCTGCCACCTGGTGGCGGCAGTGTCTTTGGCACACGATGAGCACTTCATGGGGGGTCTATCTAGCAC